ATATACTTAGGACACCATGGATAACAGGAAACACTCTTGGCAAAACAATCTGGAACAGGCACTAAGTAAATGAACAAATGAAGTTTTTATCAAGCAACGACAACAACCCTTGATGTAGAAAGTAGAATCTGATCTCCAGAATTACATTACAATATGCAAAACGTCCAGTTCTCAAACAAATAAATACAAAGCATACAAAATAGGAAAATATGACCCGTTCACAGGGAAAAAAAAAACTTATAGACACCATTCCTAAGGAACTCAAACATTAAACTTACTAAAAGCTTTAACTCTCATTATTTTATTCAAAGAGCTGAAGTAAATCATAAGTAAATTAATTACACAAACTATGCATGAACAAATTAGGAATATCAAAAAGAAAATAGAAACTACTACCAAAAAGTAAAAATCCTGGAGCTGAAAAGGAGAGATAATATTTTAAAAATCATAAGATATATTCAACAGCTAATTAGAACAGGCAAAAGAAAGAATCATCGAACTTGTAAATAGGGTAATGGTAATGACCCAATCTAGGAAAGAGATGGAAAATTAGTGAAGAAAAATGAACCAAGCCTAAAAAATATCTGGGATACCATCCAGCCCACCAACATACACATCATGGAAGTTACATAGAAGAGAGATAGAATTGGGCAGGAAAGATATTTGATAATATATTATTGGAAAGCTTTCCAAATACGATGAAAGATACAAATCTAACAGCCAATAATCTCAAGACTCCAGGCAGAACAGACTCAAAGAGATCCACACTGGCACATATTACAATCAAACTGCTGTAGAAAATCCTCAGTAAGATTAACAGACTAGTTCTCATCAGAAACTATGGAGGGGAAAAAGAAAATAGGGTGAAATATTTAAAATATGAAAAGGAAAAAAGTGCCAATTAGGAATTTGCATCTAGAAAAACGATCTCTTAAGAATGAAAAAGCTAGGCAGGGGATTTAGCTCAGTGGTGCCGCTGCCTGCCTCAAAAGTGCAAGGTCCCACGTTCGATCCCTGGTACCAAAAATAAAAAAATTAAAAATTAAAAATAAGGGCCAGGGATTTAGCGCAGCGGTTCCACCACCTGCCTTGCAAGCACAAGATCCCAAGTTCGATCCCCCCCGGTATGCCCCCCAAAATGAAAAACTTAAGGCATTCCCAGATAAACAAAAACTAAGGGAGTGTCCTGCAAGTAGACTTGTTCTAAAAGAAACGAGTACTTCAGACTCAAGGAAAAAGTCACCAAGATGAAACTTAAAATCATGGAAAGAAATAAAAATTATTGGTGAAGATAACTATATAGGTAAATATAAAACCTAGTACTAATGTATTTTGTATATAATTCCTTCCTTAATTTTCTGTATGATTTAATAGACAAATGCAGATAACAATAAATATAATTCTACATTAATGGTCATATAATGCATAAAGGTGTAATTTGTAACAGTAACAACATAAAGGGAGAGATGAAGTTAGGAACAGAGTCAATATGCTACTAAAGTGACATTGGTGTCTCTGTTGCAAATTTAGGATGTTAATTGTAATGCCCACAGTAATTTCTAAGAAAATAATTTAACATATAGAAAAGTCAATATAATATACCAGAAAAATCAATCAGTGATAAAAGAGAAAATATTGGAGAAACTCAGTAAAAACAAGACATGCAATACACAAAACAAGTAGCACAATGAGAGAAATTAATGATCAGTAACATTTTAAGTGAAAAATCAATTAAACTCACCAATTAAAAGGCAAAAATTGGCAAAGAAATTTTCAAACCACAAATTCGAACCCCCACTTCATACTTTATACAAAAGTTAACTCAAAATGGATGAATGAACTAATATAAAAGTCATAATTATAAAGCTGTTAAAAGAAATCATAGAATTAATGGATTTGGTAATGGATTCTTAGATTTTTCATAAAACATTATACATGCCTGTAATCTAGCACTGAAGGAGGCTGAAACAGGAAGATTATAAAGTTGAATCTCCCCTGGACAACTTAGCAAGACCCTGTTCATGTATAAAAATAATGCTTGTGCTGGGGATTTAGCTCAGTGGTTAGGTGGCCTGCCTTGCAAGCACAAGGACCTGAGTTCAATCCCTGATACCCAAAAAATAAAAATTAAAAAAACACTTGAGATATAGCTCAGTGGTACATTATGCCTGAGTTCAATGCCCAGTACCACAAAAAGAAGAGGGAAAACAGGTATGACTGCCAAGATCGTAAAAGTAAGGACACATTAAGGAACTGTTCCAGATCAAAAGACGCCAAAGAGACGCAACAGCTAAAGGCAAAACTCCAACCTCGATTAAATTATTTTGCTAAAAATGAAGTAACTGGGACCAACAGCAAAATCTGAATGAGTTCTGAGGATTTGATGATAAACTCTAACTTCCTGACTGTGATATTTGTATTCTGAAGAGCAAGGCAAATGTCTTTATTGTTAGTAATTACAAACTAAAGTGGCCTGAGTTAGTGGGGGCTTGTGCTAGCAAGTTACCCTCAAATGATAAAAAAAAAAACTTTACACTCATTATAGTTTGCAGAGCTTAAAATTAAATTAAAAGAAAAAACTTAAATTATATATAAAAACTATCTATCCTTCCCGGCTTTCTCTATTTCATTTTTAAAACACATTTTTCTCAGTTGTAAAAATTTAAAAGTTCAGAATATTGAAAAATAGCTATGTTTGGCATCATAAAAATTAACATATTTTGTGTATCAAAGGATATTTCCAAGAATGTGAAAAGAATGGGAGAAACATCTGGAAATAATATATCTGATAAGGGAATAATATCAAGACTCTATAAAGAACCCTTACAACTCAACAAATAGACAAACAGTTTGACTATTGTAAAAATGGGTAAAGGAATTGAATAGACATTTTTCCAAAATGATATATCTAAGAAGCACACAAAAAGATGTACAATGTTAATGGTCATTAAGAAAAGGCTGGATAAGATTCCATTTCAAACCCATTAGTATATCTTTAATTAAAAATGTAAAAAAATAATAAATGTTAGCAAGGATACATAGAAGTGGGAATTTTCATACATTATCAGTGGGTGTGTAAAATGGTGCAGCCACTGTGCAAAAAGTTTGTCTAGTCCTCATAAAGTGAAGCACAGCATTACTGTATGACTCAGCTGCTCCTAGATATATACCCAAGCAAAACAAAAAGATGTCCACACAGAAACTCACACATGTTTATAGTACTATGATTCATAATAATAAAAAGGTGGAAACAGTCTAAATGCCCATCAATGGGTAAATATATTGTGATGGGAAGGATAGGAGGGTACAAGTATATGAGCATTTGTATTTGTGTGTGCACTGAAAACATTATGCTGAGAAAAAGCAAGCCACAAAAACTCGCATACTACATGATGTATTGGTCCATTTTTCCATTGCTACAACAAAATACCTGAGATTGGGTGATACATATATTTTGAAGGGGTTTGTTTAGCTCACAGTTTTGGAAGCTTAAAGTCCTAGATCAGTGAGCCCCATTTGTTCGGCCTCTGCTGAGCACTTCAGGACAGAGAGCCTTGCAGCAGAAGAGCCTTCAAGAGGGATCAAGTGGCAGAGCCAGGAGGAACCACTCTTGCTCATTTATAAAAACTTCCTCTTGTGGGAACCAACTAAGGTTCCATGAAATCTATACTAACCACTTCCAAGGGCAGCACGCTCACAGACCTAACCACTCCCACTAACCAAACTCCAGCACATGAACCCTTAGGAGACAGCTTACATGCGACCCACAGCACACAGCTCTTTTTACATCATATATACAGAATAAGCAAATCCGTGCAAACAAAAAAAAATACCGATAATTCCTTCTAAACAACAAAAATTCCAAGACAGAATCAGCATTCACACTGTGAGCACTAGTCTATCAAAATAACTGCTTAGAAGGTTTCATGGATTTTCTATTATCCTTTCAAACATCATGAATTTTGCAAATAGTGATCTTGTACCTAAATGAATTTAATCTACATTCTCCATAGGGTTTGTATATATGTCGCTCTTCTTTTCAATGCTTTATTTAGTTTCTTCCCTAATAGTGGATTTTTGTCCAAATCTAGAATTATCATTCTGTTAAAGTGAGAAAATAAGAGCAAGTCCAAGGCAAAAATACGAATAGAGAACTATGCCAAATTTCTCAATAAGGTACCAGTCATAAGAGAACATATTTTCTGTAAAGAAATTTAAATGTTTACAGATGTCTCATTAAATAACCGAAGACATTTGGCCTTGACCATGTTACAAAGGTAAATTAAGAATCTGAGATAACACCGAACATTTAGCTCAGAAGGAAAGCATTTGCCTAGTACTCAAAGGCACTGAGTTTGAACACCACACATACACACACACACACACACACACACACACACACACACACACCATAACGGATCCAAAAATAACACTTACTGATTAGACAGGGGGTTTTTTGTGCTATTTAGGCTGGCCTTGGTTTCACTATGTAACCCAGGCTGGCCTTGAACTCACAGCAATCCTCCTGCCTCAGCCTCCCACGTGCTGGGATTACAGGCGTGCGCCACCACACCTGGCCAGTACTTACTTACTGTCTTATTCTATTTGGTAAAAAAATATTCCTAAAGTTTTTAAATTTTTGACATATAAATATGTATACTATATATAATCTTGCAGTAAGGTATTATTTGTACATACAAATATGACTATGGATATCTAATTTTAAAAACAATAAATTCTTCTTAAAATGAATACAGTGACATCACTAATTATGGTTAATTTTGAAAATGCTCTCCTCAAACTAGTTTTCTAAATTTATTTTATAACTTTAAAATGAGGAAAAGAATATTTTGCAGATGCTAGAAACTGAAAACAGAATATATGTCTCAAAATGTTGTTAAAGGAGACAGTTTGTCTGCTGTACATCATGACTATGATCTTAATATGAAGAAGAAACTCAGTACCCCGATGGAAGATTAGAAGAAAGAAAAATAGATTACCTCTCCAACCGGTTTTCAAATATTGTTGTTAAATAGCCCTGAAAGTAAATAAAAGCAAAGTGAAACATACAAAAGAATCTCTTAATTTCTTTACCAATTCTTAGACTAGACAATGTAATACGAAATAAATGCAAGACCACATTTCATCTATCCTTGCCTTTGTGTAAATAATTAACAATATTTTCTGTTTATGTTTTGCTCTGCCCAAGCTGACTTCTCTATAAGAAAAAGAAACTGCTGTGTTGTTAATGTTAGTTTAAGCACATCTTATAAACTCTAGAGTCCGGGGAAAATGTTTCTTGGCAAGAAGTCTATTCAAGAAATCAGCATGTGGGATATGACATGGCTTTCCCCTTGCAGAAAGACCCCCTCCTTTTCAGAATCGCTTTCATTTAAGGACTTAATGTTATTATTCCCTTTTCTCTCCACCATGTCTCCTTACCTTGAATATTATGAAATAGGCATCCTCTTTAGTATACGCATTATGGGAACAATTTGTTTTTACTGTTAAGCAGCTAAACATATCCTTTACTAACATATTCTCATTTGTTCATGTGTTGACAACAAAGAAATACAGATGTTTGTAATATGTTCCTGGGTTTTGTTCTAGATAGATAGATAGATAGATAGATAGATAGATAGATAGATAGAGAGAGAGAAAGGAAGTAATTGCTCCCAGTCATTCTTAATTTACATACCATGACTTCTGTAATATTTTTCTCTTGTTCCTGCTAATTGAATATTCATATCTGGTATTTCAAAGCACAAGTTTTCTTCTGAATCTGATCCCTTTACAAGATCCTTGGATAAATAATATGGAGATGTACTTAATATTGCTAGCCAAAGAAAGACGTGTGACTACACGGGTCACTTTCTAGGCATTTAGTTAGCTGTTTACTGTTTATTGAAAAAACAGGGTCCCTCATGAACAAGAAAATGCCTACATCCAGAGAAAACTACATGAGAAGAAACCCAGTGACACTGAAAGACTCTGCTCAAATGTGTGGACTTCTGTAATGTAGTCCTCGTTATAATTTTTGTCATATATAGAGGCCCCTTGTTAAAAAGACAATCCTTCCAAATCCTTCAGGGATTAGTAGTAGCTTCATCTTGTCATTCCCATAGACAATGACAGACAGAAAATAACAACGCCTGGCTTTCTGGTTGGGTTTCTATTAGTGCAACGTGAGGGACGCCCGTGGAGAACGCCGAAGCCGGAAATGACTCGGAAGCCACGAGATGCTGGGCTGCGTTTGTTTAACTTGCTGTGTGAAAGGCGAGCCTTCCCCCTCTCCTCATCACCATAGCTGTGACTAAACCTCTGGCTGCCTGAAGCCAAAGAAAAGGTTGTGTTCTCCTCAGCCAAGCTGTCACTCTTTCAACTGGTTGGTTTCACAGGCTCTGTTTTCAACAGGAGGCTCAAAGACTCTTGGCAAATTTCGATAGATTGGAAGTTTGAGGGACCACGGGGACATGACAGTGTTACCTTATTAAACTGCTTTATTTATGAATCGATGTATGATTGCCAGGTTCGTGTATAAACTCCTATTTAAACGTGTTTACAATTCTGAGTACATTTAATATAATATATGTCTACATCCAGGTGGACGTACCTATGACATACAAAAGGGTAAGATAAAATGACGGCAAACGCCACAGCCTGAAGCATCAGGACAAATCCAAGTTAAGATTCTCCCTAGCTTTCTCACATTTCTTATGTTTTCATTAACTAGGCCGGTAAAGGCCTACAGTGAGAGAATTTATGTAATTGGAATCAGGGGTCAATCAGGGAACAGCTTACTTTCAAGTTTACTGATCGATGCATAGCTTTAAATAGAGCATGTGCCAATTTGTATTTGATTTGCTAAACATTCTCTTTTTTAATTAATTAATTAATTTATTTATTTATTTATTTGGTACCAGGGATTGAACTCAGGACTTTGCGCTTGTGAGACAGGCACGGTGCCACTGAGCTAAATCTTGGGCCAAAATGTGCCTTTTTAAAAAGAAGTGTTACCATCACTTTGATCTTAAATGACTCCCCACTGTGGTCCTCTTTGCTGAAGGCTTCTTCCCGGCCCAAAGTGTTACTGGGAGGCAGTGGAACCCTTAGGCACAAGAGAAAGGAAATTGGGGCACCAGGAGAAGCAGAACCTGGAAGGGGACATTGGCGCCCTTGTCTTCTCTCTTTGCTCCCCTACTGGCATGTGGTGAGCAGGTCACTCCATCCTACCCTCCTGCCATGATGTACTGCCGATGAGACTGAGCAACCATAGACTGAAACCATAAACCAACATAAACTTTTCCTCTTTATAAGCTGTTTATCTTGGGTATTTTGTCATAGTAATGGAAAGCTGATTAACATCAGTTTAGTTTTTAAAAACTAAGTCTAATAACCAAAACAATGATAAGAATGATGACAACATCTTTTGAAAGACCCTGAAAGTTAATTTTTCTTGGAACCACTTAACAGTCTAAAGAAAGATATGATAGTCTTTCTTCCACTGTTTTATTCTCTGCCTAAAATATTTGTGAGTTAAAGTTAACAAAAGCAAGTAAAAATGAAATTACTATTTATTTCACATGAAAAACTGGTTGAAACAGTTTTTCTCATGTTTTTACACAATTCATACCTCTGCTCAAAGTTTAAGTGCATGAAGCATTGCTAAAGGAGAATTTTTTCTGAAATGTCTTCTAGAGATCTAACGATTAAACTATGATTTCTATACTCCCAGGCTACTTAACAGCATATTCATACTGCCTTAAAAATGCATAGAGCAAAAGGATCCAGCTGAGGTTCTGTCACCTGCCTTACAAGTACAAGGACCCGAGTTCAATCCCTGGTACCAAAAAAAAAAAAATCCAGTTGAAATTTATTAAATATAAAAGTTCCTCTGTGTGGCATGGCAGTCCAGATGCAGTTTTAATGAAACACCGACAGTGTAATTAGAGGAGTATAAAAGAAAGCAACAGGGAAGATTAAGTTAGAGGAGAACACAAGTGAAACAAGGGCATGAAACCAACAGGAATTAATTTACCCAAATACCCTGAACTAAGAAACTGCCTTAAAGCTGACAAACTGTACTTAAATATTTTTCTATTTTTAATGTAAATTCACCATAAAGTTACTGTTGAAAAGCCTGTGGCTTTGTTGCTCTTTGGAAAGAAGTGCTAAGATCAACTGACCTGCATACCCTCAAACACATTTCTCTTTGATATAAAGAAGAAGAAGCAGGCAGAGAGGAAAGGATGAAAATATACTGAAAAGAAGAAGATCAACAATCTTTTCAAAGAAAATAGAAAAGGTTTGGTGGGAAAGGTCCTAATTTCAGTCATGAGATATATCTTATAAAATTATTTACTATACATGAAGTGTGTATGTGTGTGTGTGTGTGCGTGTGTGTGTGTTCACTCGTGCACACACAGGTACACTCCCTCATCTAGTTAATTACAGAAAAGGATGACACACGGGTGACAGAAGTAAATACAGTGGATCTACTTCTGGTCACATGACAAAGTGAATTGCTCCTGCTCCAAACACACAGAAATCCTGGATAAAATGCACACACACACACATACAAAAAAAAAAAAATACTATGTAGCTCTGAAATAACCAGACTTCAAAAACAAAGAGGGTACTCAAAGGCAAAGTTACATAAAGTGACAGCCTGACAATTTCAGGCATCATAAACAAAAAACTAAAGGCACAAGATATCTATGTGCAGGCAGGGTCATGCAGCTGGGGCCCGCACAAGTAGAGAGCGAGGATGAAATAACAGACACCCGAAGAACATTTTCAGATGATCCAAGGAAGCTTGTTCCATTTAAAAAGAGGAAGGAGCTTATATACACACCAAAACCTTTGCTCCCCAGCTCAGGACAGCAGCAGGGAAGCTCTGGGATAGGAAAGTTTCCCGGAAAAGAGCAAAACCTAAAGATGGGTGTGGGTCATGAATTTGCACTGCCTGCAAGGTATGCTGATATGATGTCCAATAAGAACAAGCCTTAATGAGAAACGGGTGTGCACTGTGACGGTGTGACCTCCAGGGGATATTAGTAAATGGAAAAAACTAGATGGAACCGGGAGTAGCATACTTCTATTAACCTAAGGTGAATACAAATTTTACAAATACAAATTTGCTTCCATTAAAAAATCAAAATAAGAACAAGACAAGGATGCCCATTATCACCACTTCTCTTCAATATAGTTCTGGAAACATTAGCCACAGCAATTAGACAAGAGAAAGAAATTAAAGCAATAAAGATAGGAAAGGAAGAAGTTAAACTATCATTATTTGCTGATGATATGATACTCTACATTGAAGATCCAAAAAACTCCACCAAAAAACTTCTAGACTTAATTGACAGATTCAGTAGAGTATCTGGATACAAGGTGAATACCCAAAAATCAATAGCCTTCCTATACACAAATAACAGACAGACAGAAAGAGAAATAAGGGAAAAAATTCCTTTTACAATAGCATCCAAAAAAATGAAGTATCTAGGAATCAATCTAACAAAAGAAACAAAAGATCTCTACACTGAAAACTACAGCACTCTGAAAAAAGAAATCGAAGAGGATATAAAAAAATGGAAAGATATCCCCTGCTCCTGGGTAGGAAGAATCAACATAGTGAAAATGGCCATACTACCGAAACTGCTATATACATTCAATGCAATGCCAATTGAAATTCCAACACTATATTTCACAGAACTAGAAAAAAGAATCCAAAAATTCATTTGGAACCACAAGAGACCTAGAATAGCAAAAGCCATTATAGGCAACAGTCACATGGCACCAGGTGTAACAATTCCCAATTTGAAACTATACTACAAAGCCACTGTGATAAAATCAGCATGGTACTGGCAAAGAAATAGGCCTGAGGATCAATGGAACAGACTGGAAGACACAAAAACAAATGCAGATGTACTCAGCTACCTCATCTTCGACAAAGGAGCTCACCATCCTCAGTGGAGGAAAGATAGCCTCTTTAATAAATGGTGTTGGAAAAACTGGATATCAACCTGTCACAGATTA